CAACCCACACTCTTATGCAAATGATAATGGAAGATTTACTAAAACATCGAGCTTGATGCTCACAGAACCTTGTGAAGTTTGAAAAGTATATTCCTCTTTGTAGTTTGTATCATATTGCACCTTACTCTACTGTTACTCATCTGGTGTGACTCAGTCCGCGATGACTCACACAACCAGCTATTCAGCAGCCTCACATCTGTCCTTGAACTTCTTTTTCATTTCTACTCTTCAATCTTTCATCTTTCTTACTAGAGAGTGGGCTGTCGGTTCACCAACGTGTTACAATATTTGACTCTTTTTTTAATTAGCTATATTCCTAAACGCTAAAGGGAAGCCGTTCTCCACCATTTGATTCCAGTCGCACATATTATACTACTACTCAGCTGAATGTAAGATATAAATTAAATTAAATACACCCAGTCCTTGTTCATGTAGAGATAGACAGATAGACTTTATTTATTCCACACTGGAGAGATTTACAGCAGCTCAATATACAACACAACACGAAAAGAGTGATGGATAAGAAAACACACAAGATCTAATAGAAATAGAAAATAGGAGTTATATTCACCTAATACAAACATGGATCATTGCACAGAAATAATAACACAGATTACTGAATACACAGAGCATTAATATATTTAAAAAAGGTTAATTGTTCAATTTCTGTAGACTTCGTTATATTTTGGTACTGCCCTCCAGTGGCACCACGTATGGCTAGAAGAATATAACATAAAGACAGAATTGGACTGTATTTATGGTTGACTTCAAATGTGAGCATGATAATCATCCTTGGAAAAATATTATTTTTACTATCTGCCCCACAGAGTAGCGTCCCCTGTTGGTTCCAGCATGCTATACTCACTATCCCGCTACAGCCGCTACATCTCCATCCTGGATGCCGACCAGAAGACCTTGCGCTGTCCACCATATCGTGGCCAACTCCTTGCCAACATAGCCGACCACCGCACCTACATCCGCCGTGGTTCCACCTACTTCCTTCACTTACAGAGCACGCTCTGTCGCCTGGCAGCCAAGGCCTTCCTGTTTACCTTCACCCACCACCTCCACCTGCCAGTCAGCTCCATGGAGGGGCCCAAGGTCGTGGAGGGCCGACGCCGCTGCTTCCTGCAGGAGCAACTGGGGCTGGGCGAGGAGGACAGCCTGATACTGCTCTACCTCAGCCAGCTCATTACGCAGCAGTACCTGCAGCCCGCCACCGGGAGCAGTGCAGCAGCAACTTGTTTTAGTTTTAACTACACCACCAGCGTTTTTTATAAAATCTAATGGGAGGAGGATTCCCATGCAGGTTTTAGCAGAAATCATCTTCGACCTTTGGTTTTTAAAGGACCACAGGGGATCTTAGTAAGGTCTTTTAGTTTGAGGACAAACTCTGAACTGGTTATTGTTTATTCTCTCTCTGCCTTGCTGTCCTTTTCTCTGCTCTTCCCTCTGTGTGCGGAAAAAAGGAGACAGAGTGAGTCGTGAATGTCAGTGAGTGGTGTATTTGGTCTGGAGCATGTTGACACTCACAAACACACATAACAGAGCAGACGTAGATCGGCTTTACTTATTGTCCTTTCAGTCATTTGTGTGTTTTTCACTTCCATGGGAGAAAAAAAATGTTAATTGGTCTGTCAGTGCCCCCACACCTCACCACACACACGCACACATACACACACACTCACTTAGAAAACTCAATCCAACACGGCTGTCTGTGTGTCGTAAGTGCTGGTCTGATCTCAGCCACGGCTCTGTGTTAACACCCACCATCCGCTGAGCAGCTATATGTAAACATGTTTTTCAGGATTAAGGCAACAAACTCGCCGACATTTTCTGGCTGTGGAGAACAGACGTCTCTCTGAATCTGTCCATGAGACCTTATTAGCACCATGCAGGCTTGTTACAGCTGGTTTTGTGACATGCCTCTCTACACATAACTACTTCATAACTTCCAAGGGCCAAAACCTTTCTGAACCCTATCTTTTTTTTAAAATATATTTCTGTGTCACTCACTGGCAATTACACTTTCAGTTTTCTCTTTTGGGGGTGAATTTTAACACACGTTCCTGCAGTTACGGATGTTTGGTTCCTAATAGAGACGGGGTTGGATTTGAACTGTGCAGGTTTGACCCTTTGAGAGCACGGAGTAAACATTCCCAAAGGCTGCTTTGAGGCTGTGATGCATGAGGAAGTGTATTTGCTGTGTGAATTAGACCCAGTTGGCTCCACGTGATATTGCATGTCCAGAGAAATAACGCCATCACTCACACAGTCACCCACATAGGGCCAGCAGCAGCCAAAACCGCTGGCGAGCATTTCTATAGATATTACTCACACGGCCAGGAACATTTTAAAGCTACTTAACTTAAATGTATTGAATTTCACTGTTGTCTTACAGTTGTGTGAGAGTGTTGTGGTGTTAGCATGAGACTGTCTTGTGCCGGGGTGAAATACCGTACTGATAATATTTCTGTTTTGTTGTATTTGGATGACTTTGACAAGATACTGAACAGTTTGAGCAGATGTTGCTGAGACAGTGATGTTGTGTTTGTATAGATTTGATTATGAGAAAAATGTACTTTCGGTGCCATCAAAAGCAGAACTCTAAGCTTGACAATTGAATTTAGGACTATGCCTATTATTTATATACATATATATATAACGGCCCTGTGCGGTGAACGAAACTAAACAGGTCTATATTTATTGCATTAGGACAAAATTTGGATTATGGTCATCATGTTGAGTAAACTCAGATTTCCTCTTTGGAGGATGCTGGAGAATTTCACAATCTTTATGTTTTAAGTTCTGTCACATCGGCCAGTGAGACGACACTGAAGAAGCGTCTTTGATAGTATTTTAGATTTTACTGTTCCTAATTCTGTGGCATCCGTGATGGAGCTGTACTTCTGTATCTAGGATGGTAACTGTACTTGTGACTGCATGGTCAGAGTTTTAATGTGAAAGGTCAAACAATGTGGGATTGTGGCTACTGTCCTTCCTGCTACGAACAAGACTAATTTCAAATCATACGCTTTTAATTATTAACAGCAACCTTAAATTTTGAATTCCACCTAATGTATTATTTTATTTCAGTGCAATTTTTGGGCTTAATGATTCTTTTATTTGCCACATGCGATGTCTTTTTATTTTTTACTGCTTAAAATAACACATTTTTGAGCTCAGATGTATTTTATTTTTTTTAGATATTATTCCTCTAATGCAAAAAGGTGAATGTAATCTAAATAAGCCATACCACAGTGTGCTTAACATGTCGTCACTCAGTGTCCTTACGTTGCCATATCATGTCTACCTTTTGTATTTCATCATCAAGGGGCGCCATGCTCACTCCAGCCCTGTACAACGGCGTTGCTGCCAGTGATTTTAATAAAGCACGTTGTGAATGTCTTGATGCTTCTATGTAATGATATTCATTTATTCCATTAAATTATTTGAATCCATTTCATTTGTGTGTGGATACCTGTACTAGGTTAAAAAGGAGTTGAGGAGATTGTGATGATTATGCTGAATCTCATGAGATACTGCAAGAAACAGACCGATGCAACCTGCAGAGCAGCATTAAATATTAAACATCAAATATTCCAACAGACTCGTGTCTGTCTGACTTGCTGTAGCAATGACGGATGTGTGAGCACTTGAGGTGTCATGAATAATAAATGCTTATCTGTGAAAACATCTAATTGCCCTTCTGGAGCAGCAGAAGGCAAGGTGGTGGACTGAAGAGAAAGTAGCAGTAAATTAATGATGCGACATCATGTTTGCAACAATATTGTTCACTCTTTACAATGACATTAATCTGAGTCTGAGTGAGCGGGCAACTCTGTGTGAAAGGGTGCTTTTCCACTTAAACCTTTAATGATAGAAACTGACAACATGTCTCTGATGCAGCAGGTGCTTGTTCTTTAGCAGCTACTTTGTGACCTTGCAGGGCTGCATTGAGGCAGAGCTCACACACATATCAGCTGGCCTGAGGATCAGTAGTTTCACAGTTGTACAATGATAGGATAAGATTTATAATTTATAAGCGTTATAAGGAGTAAAGATCATTGTGTGTGAGATGAGAAAATACCACAAACTGAAGAATATCTGCAATTCTCCACTGGGAATACTCATCCTATATTATTACAATCTAATATTTGGTCTTGTCTTGAGTAGCTACTGTGGTTTTTGGTTCTTCTGTTGTGGAAGAGTTGATATTGACAAATTACTATTACTCCTGAATAGAAGAACATGTTTTGTGACATGTAAGCCATATTTTATCTATGCAATAAGAATAAAAGAACATGGAAACAATGTCAACAAGAGTTTCTTAAAACCACATTACTTAAGACAATGTTAAATGAATTATTGAATTTGGTAATATTTCACTTTTTTTCCTTAGATTCAATGTAATATTGATGTTTTGTAGTCCTGAAACCACATCAAGGACATACAAAAGAAAATATTTGAGTCAAAATGTACCAATGTAATTATTTTGGCCTTGATCTCAAACTACCAAATCTGGTTAATCAAACAAGTATTTATTTTAAAATGTGTTGTCTTTAATTATGTGTTTTATGGATTTTCTTTACTCTCTTTTTACTTTACTGTGTTAACCTCTCACAAAAGTCTTTCTAGGGACAGGTGTTGCCATAGTGCACTATGTAATAGCACTACATGATACTTACATTGAATATCTGTTTTCAGCGTGTCTATGTTTTCTTTACTCTGTCCCCATCAAATAAAACATAATTAAAGTGCAGAGGCCACAAATATCAAAACAGAAATACACAAAAGAATACTGAGACATCAGCATTTAGTTAAAAGACTCTCTGAGGTCTTCAACCTTTAGTGATTTATGCTACTTCAAGAAAAAGGTCTGACAATGCAACTCTACAGTCAATAATGGTCTTTTCTAACTCATAAGATAAATTATGCTTCGAGATCAAGAACAATAAAACCACACACAAAATATTAAAAAAAAAAAAAATCAGAGCAAGTAAATCAGAATGGTTTTATTTAAAATTAGACTACAAGAACAATGAAGAAACAGTTTTAAGGTTTAAAACAATGACATTTCAAACAAAAATCATTTCCCTCCCAGCCTTCTTTAAATGAAATGAAACACAGAATTTAAACTGACCCTCACAGTGCTTATGACTTGCTGGAATGACAGGCGTGATCCAGAAACAGTTAACCTCAACTTCCTACTTTGAGCATTTGGAGTTCAGGGCATAAAATATATTCAAAATTTAAAATAAAAAAAAACACACAGAAAAACAAATGTAAGCAATACAACATGGCCCCTCTCAGTTGCTCCCCTGTGTTAAAAAGGAGTCCCAAATACTGACCCCCATAAGGGCAGCAGCTGAGGATGATGATGAAGCTATCAGTGATTTGTTTCTGGTTCAGGTGACTGAAATAAGACAATGTTACTTTGGAGATCTGAGAATGCACAGCTGGAGGCTGGGTGAGCCCTGATGCCCAAGAGAAAATCGACCAGAGGTCCAAAAAAATGCACTTAGCCAGAACATCCTCTGCATCCACAGTGGGTGCATTCAATGATCCGTCCCTGCAGAGAGAAAAAACAGCTGGATTTAGACCACGAGGACACACAGGGAATGATCAAACCATCTCATCATTTAGGGCGGCAATGGGATAACTCATTATCCTCTTTCGAAAAATTCTGCAAATTTAAAAGTTATGCGTTTGCATGTTATTTGTAGCAATGGCTCTAGGTGGCTCTGTCAGTCTGTTAATCTCAACAACTGTAAGATGGATTGTCATAAAACTTTAAGATCTCCAGAGGATGAATCCTACTGACTTTATTAAACCTATCTGACCTTTTATCTAGCACCACCAGGAAGTCAAAATGTTCACTTATTCTGTGAAATATCTACTGAATGGCTATAGACTCTTAGTCTTGTTAAAATGTAGATTTTACTGTTATTGAACTGAAACAGGAGATAGGGCCTATACAATTAAAACATGTACAATTGACAATAACTTCCTGTGGGTGTCACACAAAGCCTGTCAATGATTAGAGAAAATTGACAGTGACTGGCGAGCCTCCCGGCCTCACTCATCCGATCACAGAGCTACTCTCTGGTCCAGTGAGGTCTTTGAAATAGTGCAGTGCCACAGAGTTGAATTTACTTTATCTCACTTGGGCAATTTCATCAATGTATTTGTACAGTCTTATATTATCTTATACAAACTTTTGCTTCTCAAAATGATTAAAATGGACGACTTCGGTTATAATCACTCAAATTCAGTGAGACTTACGACTTCCAGCTTGCTCTTGGGGACCCTGCAGATGCAGTTGGTTCCAAAGTTGGTGTCTCGTGTTTGGATGCAACGCAGACAGCACAGGTTCTCGTAGCCCTGCTTCTTCCACTTGGCAATCAGGTTCTTGTCTGCATAGCCTTCCTTTATACAGTACTCATACAGCTCTGTCAGGAGAGAAACAGAGTGTAACTGTGAGTCATATGACTGGTCATGTGCAAATTCAAAAAGAATACATAAAAGTATAAATGTTCCATGCAAAAAAGGGGAAAAGTGCTGTATACACATCTTAAATAACAGATGTTCTGATTAAATGAAATGTCATCAAAACTCACAGAACTTTATTTTAAAATCTAGTGAAGATACCAAATGTGTCATTCTGGATTACAAGGATGGATAATATAAAATGCCTGAGTAAACAGAAAAGGAGAGGGAAAAAACAAAGAGCAAAGTGGAAACATAAGATGTTTAGTAGTTCAATGGGTGGAGTGAAAACTGTGTCTACCTCTGCTGATGGCTTTCCTTTTGTAGAAGAGGTCAAAGATGTATCGACTCCGCTGATGATGCAGCCTGAAAATTGGCCAAAGGGACTCCACCTTTCTCTTCCCCTCATGAGGCTCTGTTTCAGCTGAGACACAAAGGAAAAGCAGCAAAGTTAGCTTTGGTAAGCAGAAATTAAAATCAATGGTGCACCTGCTCTGGTAATTATAATGCAATGCATTAGCCCGCAACTATAACATCCGTAGATTCAGACAGCTGCTCTACAGAAAGGCACACTTTGGAAAGAGTTTTGTACCCAG